TGTTTTTTACCCACAGGTACAGATGACGACTGACAGAACCCTTTCTACGATGGAACTTTCCTGTACGACTGAGAGCCTCCACAAGCAGTTCCCACTACTAGAGAAAAAAATCCTTGTTTGAAAATATTTGGCTCATAAAAACAATGGATTTAGCCCCCCGATCTCACCTAGGAATGACAAAGACTCAAAGTGTGATCATAACCATATAACTAGTACTGTAACTGACTCAGAAATTGGAATGGATCTGGTTGCTCAGTAAAATAGCCATCCTTCTATTTTCAATACCAGTTGTCTTTATTAGGTTTGCATCTTGCCTGGAGCCAACCAAGCCTGCAGTTGATTTATTCAGGGTGCCTTGCACCAACTATCAGGTGACATAGACTTCAGCTTTCCTGTGACCCTGAGACTTAAAACGGTTAGAACATTGCCTGTTTATCATAATTGTACAGGCATGATGGCACCGGGTTGAAAGCCAATCTGATTTACAGTATTGGAATACGTTGATGTATGTTGCTGCTGTATACTGCTTGAACCCAGTGAACAAACTTGGTGTCCGCTTAATGTTCATTATCTTTGGCATACCGCAGAGAAAGGACAGGGAGAGTTGGTAGATAATTTGTGTGACTTTATTGACACAAATATTTCAGTTGATGTTAATTTGTCTTGAAATAAAGTTGTTTTTTTTTCTACCACAGCTCCATTTTGGATCTGGTGGGGCACTGTTGCCAACTTGTCAGCGTGAAAAGCACGTCAATGCAAAACAGCGGCCTGGTAAAGTTGCATTCATCTTTGACTTCGTTCCCTGCAGCAAAGGTTTGGAATAATGGTAAGGTATTTCATTGATTTGGATGTCTATTGCCGCAGTTGCTTTGAAAAAGTGTTTTCGAAGCTAGAAAACAAGGCCCTGTGTACCTTAATGTTTTCACTAGCTGACACAAACTCAAAATAATGACCCGATTTCTACCTTGCGAATGCAAATATTTCTCCTTTTGGTGTTCATTTTCATGTGTCGGATGGGAATTCTAATTTGTGAAGTCCCAGAATGCTTCACTGAAAGCTTTTAACACAGTCATTCCCCTATCATGTGTATTCTATAATGTCGAGTTGTTTGCTGTGTGTCGTTATCTTGGAATGGGGGCCTCCTCCTTTATTTTATTTGTTAGTTATTAGTTTTGTCCCACATAAACACATGAGGGAACACTGTCCCATTCAAGTAATGTCAAATATAACCCGTCGCTGCTCCCAGGAGGCAGTCAACGGCAGTAAAAACTTGAATTAAGTGTCAGTGACAGTTCTGTGGGCTGCTTGTCAACATTATTAAATGCTTTGCAGTCGTGGAATGTGACTTTGCAAAGTAACTGTGGTCAGATTACTCCACTGAGAGTAATGCGATTAGTTGTTAATATCAAAAATGAATATGATATCAAATGCGTTACGGCATCACTGTTCGTGACTTGCTATTAGGAAAACTAGGAATAAAACCGAGGACGAAAAAAGTGTGATTGACTTCTGTCTCGACGGTAAGACGACCTGCAGAGATCAGCTGACACATTTCTCACGCTGAGTGTTTGACGAACAAAAACAAGTCACTGGAGCAAATAATCATTCATCAGCAATGGAAGATGTTGTTAATTACATGCCTTCCTTCGGATGAACTTGACTGATCACTTATGATGTTTAAAGCAAGCTTCAATACGACATGATTGAAACAAATCATCATGCCTCTCAAAAGAGGATAGCTAAGCATGAATAATTCATGTGCTCGGGGTGTAATCAGCGAACGTAACGGGCAAACATTATTCACTACTCGTGCACTAGTTCATCAAATGCAGTACTTTGTTGGAATTCTTCAGATGATCCAGCAATGAAGGCAAAAAAAAAAAAAAAAAGCACTTGAATGAAGCCGTCTCCTTTTGCGTGTAAACAGGGGGGAACATTAGACGAAGATCAGGCCTCCTTACGGACACTTTCCAGGTCTTTTCTGCTTTGCTGGTCAGCCACTGCGGAGAGGGTTTTTTTTTCCTTCTTTTTTTTTCTTTCTTTTAAATATTCAAATGCAACTCTGAGAACTTTCTCAGCAGCAGTATGCCGGCCAACCCGCACAGAATTAATCACACACACACACACACACACACACACACACACACACACACACACACACACACACACACACACACACACACACACACACACACACACACACACAATAACAGCAATTTGTGGGAATGGCAGATCGAAGGATTGTGTCACCGACTGACAATTCTGGGAACCGAGAGTGTAGTGGGTGGAGCAGATACAATGACATATGGCTTGATGTAATGAAAAGCAGATCCCCCGTTCCCCTCCGGAGCGACATGACACCCCCCCCCCCCCCAACCTCCGATACCTTGACTCCCTCCCTTCTGGCGGAGTTCCCACCAACTGAAAGCGCGCCCGAGCTTGACCCCCAAGCGCGCATGCACGCGGATGTAGAACATCCTCCCACACAGACGCCCGCACATTCTTGCTGACTATTTTGAAGTTTTCGAGCGAGGTCGTTCTGTCTTGGAGACATCGACCAGATGTCGAGCGATATCAGT